CATTAGAACAATGGATACATCTTTAAAAGATATCATTAGCGATAGACGCTTGAAATACTCTTGGGTATTTGCCCACCAAATTTATATCCTAATATAGAAATAGTTCAAACATGTTCTTTAAAGATTTCTGTCATTTCTAGAAAAGTCTCAGTACTTCTGTCGAGAAAAATAAAAAATCCAATTCAAGGAGCAATTTTTGATACATTCTTTGAACTGCATGTTTTTACAAAAACATGTTTCGGTGTAAATGAAAAATACTGGTTTCTATACTTTAGATTTCTGTTTCTCACATGAAAAAACTACATATAAAGAATGTTTTATCACATTATCTTTCTATTTTGGTTTTCCTTAGAGCTTACTATTTCCTGCCTTCACTGAGTATGAATAAAAATCACAGTTGTTTCTCTATGTCGATCTCATTCCAAAAGAAATCATTCTATAAACATGACTAAGAGGCCCCAAACTTAGGCAGAGTCTTCTTTAGTAGGCAAGGGTTTAATTTGTCTTGTTAAAAATAAGCAAGCCTACCTAAAAATCTGCCACCTTTGATAAAGGAAAAAAATTCTCTAAAATACATTCATTGGCTTAATTGTCCAAATACCCTTCTATTCTTTTAAAGTAAACTGTCGGATGAGACCCATAATATATTTAAGCCACTTATATAGGTCAGCTAATATGGGTTATGCTTTTTTAAGCACCATCTGACTAAGCACATTCTGCATTTTGCTAACAAAGTAACAGTACATAATAATATTTTAATCAACCACAAAGAACAATAAGAGATCTGACTGCTGGGCTGATAATCGTCTTATCACACCCTGTGAAACCTAGCTCTAATATTTGCCGGAGCCTCCATTACTTGGCAGCCCATTCTAAAAAAGGCCAACAATGGGGAGAGAATGAAGTGGAGTGTGCAGTAACTCCGTATCTACATAAAAGAGATTAGAGGCGACAGCGTTCCATTTTACAGCTCAATCATATTGTGTTAGCATGCGCTTATCCGAGCGCGGACGAAATTGAAAGAGAAATAAAAAAGAGTCAGGCAGATAGGAACCAGAAAAGCGAGGCATGAGCAATTTCCAAGGATATAAAAGGATGCTAATGGCGGGGCCCTGTCATTCTTAAAAAGGGCTATTAGGGCACCATCATCTGTTCTTGTGCCCTTATGCTCCTCCAACTAAAGTCAAGCATTTTCTAAAGCCCTTGTGATCTTTTTTCTTCTATAGATAAAGTATGGTCATGTTTCCTAAGAACACACTTTTCCATTTATATGATTTATTAAAGTAAGTCAACTAATTCGATTTACTGATAAAAAAAAAACCCACTCCATATGTATTTTCCTTCAATATTTTCTTTTGTTGAATTCTTCACTTTTTTATGTAGCAAAAGTAAGGCTATGAGTACATTCCCAGCAGTGCAGAGAGGCTACTGATCTTATCTTAGATGCTAAACTTAATTTTTGAACTGCGCGCGCGTGTGTGTGTGTGTGTGTGTGATTACACAAACTGAGAGGAGCATAGAGAGAGCAAAGGCTTACATTTTAGCATTAAAGGCAGATTTCACTTTAATTTTCACATAAGCGTTACACAAAGAGTTTTCAAGTTAAGACAAAGACAGGTGAAATTTCAGTTCTGATTTGACTTTAATTCAGGCTCTGACCCCAGTTATGAGGACTGGGTCATGTTATCAAGAACACGATTTTACTTCCATCAAGGCAGAAATGTGACCTTAATCTTTATATTCTCTTTGTCTCCCTCCCCACCAGCCCCCCCACCAATCCTACACTCCACATTGCTGCTGCACCCAACCTCCCTGAACCCGGGGTATACCAGCACTCTGATATCAGTGTCCTCTCCTTCTACCTCAAAACACTGTATGGCACACTTATTATTTAATAATTTAAAAGAATTCCAGTTAATTCTTGTTTGGCTAATCCTTTTCTGAAAAGCCGAGCCACTCCTTGCAATCATTTAAACACCCCGAGGGTATCAAGAACACCAGAGCTGTGAATCATCACTCCACAGTGACCTCCTCTGGCATTTGCTATGGAGAGAGAATCACGTCAGTCCCCACCAATTCTAAGCCTCAGCTTAAGACTGAACACATAATCGTATAGTAATTGTTTCCACCACTGGAAATGCTGTTACTCATAGTTATTTAAAGTTACTGTCTTCACAAAAGTCACTAGAGCCCCTTTACAGTGACAGGTTCCTTTGTAAGCTGACATTCCTACTTAGATGCACAACTGGACCAACAAATTTATCATTGACTTTTCCTCACCAGAGAGCACTGTAAGGAGTTGTTGACTTTTATTGGTCTTTATTATGGGATGTCTGAACAATATTACAATATTGGCTTAACACGTCTCTTAATTCACGAGTACTTGGGCTGAGTTCTCTAAAATAATGGGAGGTTCGGAGCCATAGTGACACAGTCTTTCATGCTGTTGTTATCAGTAATATGAACGCTATTATCATTATTATTTTGAAGTGGTTCTTTCAAATGCAGTCAACTGGGTATCCTGATTCTACTCCAGGAAGCAATGATGAATACGCTTTGAAGGCACCGGATACATTTGTGAGTTTGTGTAAGTGTTTTCACCTCATTATGCCTCAAAGTTCCCTATCTTTGAATTAAAGATAACAGTACTTGATTCTCAGATTAAAACAACGGTTCTCAGTTGGGGAAGAGGGGCACAGATTTGCCCACCAGAGGACATACATCTATGTCTAAAGACAGTTTTGTTTGTCCAACTCAAGGGTGCTAGTGATAGAAGCCCAGGATACTACTGAACATCCTACCATGAACAGGACAGTCCCCTACAACAAAGGATAACTGTTTCCAAATATCAGTAATGTCAAGGCTGACAATCCTAGGTTGGATAATGATATTTTTTGGTCTATTTTATTTTATTTTTAAGAAAGAGAGGGAGGGAAGGAGGGAGGGGAGAGAGAAAGGATTGAAGAGCAGAGGAAGAGAGAGAGAGAATCTTAAGCAGGCTCCGTGCCCAGCATAGAGTCTGATGTGAGGCTCAGTCTCAGAACCCCGGGATCATGACCTGAGCCAAAATCAAGAGTCAGACATTTAACCGACTGAGCCACCCAGGCGCCCCAGAATAATATTTTAAATATGTGAGTATAGGGATCCCTGGGTGGCGCAGCGGTTTGGCGCCTGCCTTTGGCCCAGGGCGCGATCCGGGAGACCCGGGATCGAATCCCACGTCGGGCTCCCGGTGCATGGAGTCTGCTTCTCCCTCTGCCTGTGTCTCTGCCTCTCTCTCTCTCTGTGACTATCATAACTAAATAATAAAAAAAAAAAAATTTAAATATGTGAGTATAGGGGTGCCTAGCTGGCTCAATTGGTAGAGCGTGCAACTCTTGTTCCTCAGGGTTGTTGGTTCAAGCCTCACTGTGGGTGTAAAGATTACTCAAAAATAAAATCTTTTTTTAATTAAAAAATAAAACGTGAGATTCATGTGTGCGCTTGTACATGTCTATGTATGTAAAGTAATAAAATACATAAATACAAGTGATATGTTAATTATCTAAAATGTGGATATCTCAACAAATGTTAATTTTGTTTCTTTTGCTGTAATACGCTTCACAGCACTTTTCATCCAGATAAGTTTTCATACACTGTTTAAGCAAATTCTGACAGTTCCCACTGCCACAATTCCCAAACGTCTTAACATCTTTTAGCACATCCTTTTTTTTCTGTTTTGAGAAGTCACATAGATGTGATTACAATCTAAATGCAGTATCAACTATCTATATGATCCAACTCTCCTCCTTCTTTTACATGTAGTAACCCTTGTGTAGGTATCTTCTAAAGAACGCACTCAAGCTCACCTATTTAACTAGTTCTGACTTAATTTGGGGTGCTTTATTAGCAAACAGTGTAAGACAAAGTAGCTAGTATAATACAGAGTGATGTTTAAATTAGTTTACAATTTGCTGGGCCTCATCTAGAACTGCACCGAACAAAGCCATTCAGAAATGTCAGCTGTGTTCCTAACCACTGTAACAAATTGTCGCCTGAACGCCGCACACCTAATGACTTCAAATTAGCTTCACTGCGATATGGCTTGACAGTCCGTTACGACTGTTAGCAACATAGCTGGCGTATCATGACCAAGAAATTGGCTTCAGTGTGGGCTGGGGAAGGGACTTCCATCAATTTGATTAAAGAAATTACTGTAGCATTCAACGCATAAAGACAAACTAGTTTAAGGAGACGCAAATAGGTTAACCATACCAGAAAAACACTGCTCATCATTCAAAAACTTGCTTATAAACTACTTGAAGATCAAAGTTCAAACAAACAAAAAATAATTCAAGCAGACTACTAAAATCCTCAAAACTTGTGACCAGGTATCTGTTTATTGATATAATGGGATCTTCTAAGCCAAGAAAGAAAAGTAATAGGATACTTTAAAATACTACTTTTAAGTTACTATATGGGAAAGTTTATGGTGTCTGTTTAATATTTATTCTTAGAATTTGTGTACAAATCCTTGGTAAATACCTAATTGTCAACCAAAGGTGTGCTTGTAAATACGAACAGCAATTTGGTGTAAAAAGCTACCATGAACAATAAAATGAAATGAGTGATTCTTAAAAGGAAAAAAGGTACACTGAGTTGTGCTGACAAAGATATTTTTTAAAGTGAAAAGAAAAAAGAGAAGTATCTCCTTAGGAGAAAGCACAGAATTTTAAGAGGAAGAAAGACATATGTTTTTAAAGTTATATTCTCTTTACCTTATATATTGGCAATAGTACATTTGCATATCAAAAAAAATAACAAGAGTTCAAGGTGGTACAGATATAGAGAGGTTTATGATACAATTAAGGTCAAGCAAAGCTCTAAATTAACTATGGTAAAAACAAATGTAAAGGTTAAAAAACATAATAATGAGAAATTTTTGAATTTGCCTGAATCTATGTATTAGGGAATTTTGCAAACTTTTCTGTCTCATTTTTTTTTCTTTTCAGAAAATGTACCTGGAATATGCTTCGCCCATCCAATGATAACCACCAACTCCCGGTCAGCCAAGTCACACAGTGTAGTGAGGGCTTTGATGTCACTGTCAGGGACAGTAGGATCAGGCATGGCATAGATCTTCTCCGGTTCGGCCACCAACAAATGTGAGACAATCTTGTTATCTGCAGGATCAGACCAGAGCACTACAAGATCACTAGTAGCATCATCCCTCTTTCACAAACCCTATAGTATGCTGCATTTTGAAAAATAATTCAAATTGCCTACAATAAACCCCAAATATCCTACTGATGGTTCAATATATGCATAGTAAACAGTGTTCAGGAAAACTCATAGCGAGAAATCAGCCACTGCAGTTGTAACAAGATGCATTCCTTTCTTCTTCTTCGCTCTACCTGCCTTTGCTGGAATGAAGCATCTGTCCTGTAATGAAATTTTTTATAGCAAACAGATAAGAGAAGTTAGATGCTTTCTGGGTTTGCTCTTTGATTCTTAAGTGGGATTTGGGGAAGCAGATTCAATAGCATACAACGTGTTTAAAATAAAAATCCACAGTAAACCACTGAAATATAGAATATAATGTGGAAGGCAAGAAACTATCACTGCCCATAGTCATAATGGGCACGAAAGTCATTAATTGTGTTAATTCCTCTAAAGAAGAGCAAAGGTCAGAGCCTTTCTGCCTGGGTGAATTACTGACTATATAACTCTATCTCTGTGGGATGCATTAAAGAAGAATTTCTCTCCTTTCTCTCCCTCCCCACACACCCGGCCAATCTTTCAAATATAGCCAATATCTGTTTCCATAAAAATACTCCTACTTAAATGTTACAATGTCTTCTCTTTGGAGTGTCTAATTCTTTAATCCTCTATTTTCATCTGTTGTCTTTAGCTCATTCTCTGGTTCAGATTTATCTGTCTAAAATTTGTGATATATGTTTTTAAAATCCTTCATAAAATAAACACTAGAGACAAATGGAAAGCATCACATCAAATGTGTTTTATTGCTTAGGGGCACGTGAGAGTTTATGGAAGGGTTGTAAAGCCTTGCTAACGGAATGATTTTTCTTGTTGGCCCTATTTTCTATTTCTATGTGCTGTTTTAGATTTTATACTTTCTTCTAAGTGAAGAGATACAAATGGGTAAGGATAAACTCAAATATTTCAATGTTCTATGTACTATTACTCTAAAAAAACAGGGTATTAAATGAGACTTTTGTGAGCAAAGCCCGTTTCCTCTGCGTTTACTTGGTAATTTTTCTTTTATTCTAAGTGTTTAACTTTTTTAACCCAGATGAAAAGACTTCATCTACCTTAGAATTGAAAACATAGCATTCCTTTTAGTTTTCTTTAACTAAATGACAAGGAAATTATCCAAGTTCTTTAATTAGCATTTTTTCTAACATTTAAAACTTTTATTTTTATGGCTGCTATATGCATTGCATTTATTGCAAATAATCAACACATAATCATTCGCTGGCAGTAATATTCAATTATGACCAAATTGAAAATGCAGATTTGGGAGGAAATATTCCCAAACACCATATTTTGTAGGAAAAAAATTAAATTCAATACAGATTCTTTTTTTTTTTTTTAATTTATAGGATCTGTGAAGAATGGCATTTGTTTCTTGTATATGCTATGGAAACAACACCCTGTATTTTTAGTTACGCTTGGAAAAGTTTCAACTTTCATTGCTCTGACAATGCAGCAAAACCTGTCAGCAACCACTAGTTTCTCAGGATTAGAAGAAAGTGCAACATTTAATAAAGGGCACAAAAATGTGCCCAAGGGAAATCCTGATTCTAGTTCTTTCCATACTGGGAAGATGGTTACCTGTTTTACCCACGTCAATGGATGCTTGACCGGAAGGGTGGGAGAAATTTGGCTGAAGCTAAGAAATTCCCATCATTCAGAAAGTGGAATAGCCAGCAGCACTGTTTCTAGGTAAATCTTATTTAATGTTTCCCTAATTAGAATCAATAGAACCCAATTTTCATTCTTGGGCTCTTGTAGTACACAAACAATCAGTCAGGGGCCAGAAATCTCCCTCAGCCACTTTCTCAGCAGAGCCCAGGCACAGCCTCTTGACACTTATCTGACAGGATCTGAAAATTAAGTTTTATAAATGTTTGTTACAAAAACACACTAATTGGATGGACTAAGGAAAATTAACACAGAGGCCTTGAGATAATGAGTAATGATTTATTAGGAGTCCTCTTTATCTCAGACAAATGGAGCTCACTGAAATTGCTATAATCTTCTTAAAGGTACTTGACAAGCCACTTCCCAATTTCTCAGGTTTACGCTGAAAACCATAGCTGTTCCTCCATCATGTGGACTTACAAAATGGGCTAGTGCTCATTGTTCTCCTGGTAGAGGAAATTATCAATGGTTTCAGTCAATGCTCATGTAAAATGAATGAGAAATGGGCAGTCTGTATAATAGCGAGTCTAGGAAAACTAACCTCTAATGAAATTAAGCATTAGTGTTTATTGCATTTTATTGTATTATCAGAAAGTTTTTTATTATAATGTGCAAAATCTGCTTAATGCAGTCCTAGATTGTATTTGCAGAATGCCAAACAGCTTATGCAGGCTGAGGAGAAGATGCCAGATTGGACAATTGAAGGTATAATCAACATAATGTTTTTTGGAAAGGCAAAAGGAAACTATGCCATATGTTCACTTAAGCTTTAATTTTATGTAAAACTGGTTGTTTTTCCTTTGACATAGCTGAAATGTCCTTTCATTTACAGTTCAGGGTCTGTTTTATTTACTTAACAGATCCCCATATGCTCACATGTATGATGCACAGCAGCGACCCCTCCTGGAGAATCTGAATTAGAAACGGACACTTTCTCTTCCCTTGAAAGCAGATCAAAAATCACCTACAATGGCCATAGATGCAGCCTCCTCTGGTACGTGCTGGTTGTGTCTTCTGAGACAGAGACAGCTGAATGTGAGGACCGTTTCCATCAAGCACGTTTCAGTGCCTAGTACGAACTCTATGCATAAAAATCCTAAAAGGCTAGTTCTGTTGCACTATAACTATGAACCGATTTTTCAGAAAATGGGATGCAGTTATTGCCTCAATCTACATTCCAGCTCCTTTTAGTTAATGACAAAGAGAATGGGGCTTGCGTTTTAGCAATGTACCCATCATCCTCTCAAATTGCAATCTGGCATTATAAAACCATGGACTCTTTAAAAACAATTCATAATGCCCATAAGGGCATCTGAGATGGAACCACCAACCTAAGCTTGTTATTAGGAGGGCCCACTCTTGTTTTAATCTATTGCTAGCTAGTGTGTTAACCTTCTATAGCTCCAAATTAATGAGGCTCCTAATGTATTTTCATTGGGAGGTTGAGCAGTCAAACTCATTTAGTTAGTGAAAACTACAAAAATCACTTTCTTGTGAAATCTGAAACTAACAGCTCCAATGAACTAATGATTACAGTATGATCCATTTTATGTACCTCTGAAAATAAAGATAACCAGTAAATGTAAAATTCGCACTATATAAGCTGTGCCTTAATATGCTTACGCTTCTTCAAAATGACTAGGTGAAAGAAAGGTAGGCGAGAGAAAATCATAGGAAAAAAAAAAAAAGACAATTAGCCGAGTGGCTGTTGCTCCTCAAAGGCAATCTTTGGGAACAGAGCCACAGCCCCCCAACAAAGACAAGTCTCCTTGGAGTCGGTAGGGATGGGCATGCCAAAACTGATATACATAGAGCCAACTGGGAGGATTCTGTGTGTTGGAAAGCCAGACATGTCTGCTGTACTTACATGGCTTTTTGGCTGGCTGAACCAGCTGAGGGTTCAGGTAGGGGCTGTTCTCCGCATCTATTCTGCGCTTGTACTTCTGCCGACCTCCGCGTACTCTGTCAAGACGCACCCCTGTGGGCAAAGACAGGCACTGGCTTACTGCTGACGTATCCATCTTTGAGACCAGTCAAATACACAGAGCATCACCCATGGGTGCTATGGAGACAGACAGTAGAACACAGAATGGTCCAGAGGTACTGGAAGCATGTAAAAAGAAGTAGTGGCTAAACCCAAATCGCCAGTAGTTGGAAAACCAAATTTGGCAGAGCACAACAAACCTGAAAAGCATTTTATGCAAGGCCATCAAGCATGGCCTTTCTCACACTTACACACCAAAGGAAAAGCACATTTCCAAGGGAATTAATACAAAGAAACTATTACTTGGTACTAGCCTCATTTCTCAAGTTAAAGACAATGACAATCTATATCCTCTTTATCAGTCACCCGTGAAAACTCAACATGTAAGAGTGATCCCACCCTCCGTGGTCTACCAGAGGGCTCACTGTGGGCCCATGGAATTGAACTGAACTGGATGCATCTGCATGCTGTGGAAAGCTGGAATTACACTCTGCAAGATGAGATGTAAGGCTTGTTCCCTATTATAACGTCAACATGTCTCAGAGGAGAATGTTACTTACACTTTGGCACACCTTTGTATTTTCTTCCAGATGAGAGAAAACTGGGAGTAAGTTTGGACTGGATGTGGGACAGAAAGAGGAGCTTCCTAAAAGAATTCAGAAGACTAGGATGTGGGGTTCGTGAGGCAGAGCTAAGGGGCAAAGCCAGAAGAAGGAGGTAGACTGGCAGTTACTAAAATTTCTTCCCAAAGAGTCATGGGTTGGCTCAAGATGCAGAGAGGTTTTGATGGCACTGGATTTAGAATACTGAGGAAAGAGGCAAAAGGGAAAGACAGGAATTAAAAATAAATGTTTCAGGACACCTGGGTGGCTCAGCGGTTGAGCATCTGCCTTTGGCTCAGGTCGTGATCCCAGGATCCTGGGATCGAGTTCCACATCAGTGGCCCCGCAAGGAGCCTGCTTCTCTCTCTGCCTATGTCTCTGACTCTCTCTGTGTATCTCTCATGAATAAATACATAAAATATTTTTTAATGTTTCATTTGTATGGAATAGTAGTAAGAACAGCTTGCTAATAACTTGGTTTCCAGTCTATAATTGTGAAGTTTAAGACAGGGCCATATAAATCTTTATCTGATACAGAGGTTACATGGGAGTTAAGAGCAAGGTGGAGACTCACTCTGTGACATTACCTAAATTGATAAAATGTTATGACATCATGGCTTAATAAATTCAACCAAGTAGTTCATTGTACATGTTTTGGCATTTCTCACAATGTTTGGAAAATAGATTTGGTTTAACAGCATCATCAGTATTATTATTTTACTGAAAGGCCTCTCTGAGCCTTTAATATGCAAATGACCTCTGTAAAACTCTCAGAAGGAAATACAGCCTATGCAATGTTTTGCAAACTAATTTAACCAAAGATCCGGTTGTGGGAATATTTATTAATATCATGTGGAATACGTGAATTGTGGATTCTCTGAGTTATGCGACACAGTTTGGAAAATGCTGACATAGCTCTACGTGAACCCTGGAGTGAATATATACTCTCCAATGGTAAGGATTACTACTCAACCACGAGATAAAGTAAAACACAATTTTTCATATTATCTTAATAATGCTACTTTAAGGGGCACCTGGGTGGCTCAGTGGTTGAGGTCTGCCTTTGGCTCAGGTTCTGATACCGGGGTCCTGGGATCGAGTCCCACACCGGGCTCCCCGCAGGGAGCCTGCTTCTCCCTCTGCCTATATCTCTGCCTCTCTCTGTGTCTCTCATGAATAAATAAATAAAATATTTAAAAAATGCTACTTTAAAAGTTGATTATCTTTTAGTGAAACACAGAAATATACACTCGGTTCTAGATAAAGCCTGAAATGTCATACTGAAATGTCAAAGCAGAGTTTAAATGAAATCAGGAGACAACTTCAAGAGCAATTAAGTAGGTTTTGACAGTAAATTTCACAAAACAAAGACATCAGTACAGTGCCTAAATATTGGCTGAAAATAGAGGGCACAGGGGTCACAAAGAAGCTGTATTTCCTTCTGCTCCTTGGAAAGCACTTTCTGCCTGCAGTAGAGTTCTGTTCCCTTGTCATCTCATTTCTAGTGTATAAAACTCAATGGCAAGCAAGCTGAGTACCTGGGATACTGTACTTCTTCCAATTGTGATACTAATTTTGTAGAAATAAAATGTAGAGTACAAAGAACAAAAATATTTCATCAATATGTTTAAAATACTGTAAGTCAACCACTATCACTGAAAATTCTACCTCTATTGCATTTGACAACACATAGATATAAACCATAATTTTTCGTTAGTAGGAACATATGCAAATGATAGGGTGAGTTAAAAAAGAATTATCTACTGCACCCCAGTGTTTATAGCAGCAATGTCCACAACAGCCAAACTATGGAAGGAGCCCAGATGTCCACTGACAGATGAATGGATGAAGAAGATGTAATATACATATACAATGGAATATTACTCAGCCATCAAAAATGAAATCTTGCCATCTGCAACAACGTGGATGGAACTAGAGGGAATTATGCCAACTGAAATAAGTCAGAGAAAGACAATTATAGGATCTCATTCACATGTGGAATTTAAGAAACAAAACAGAGGATCACAGGGGAGAGAGAAAAAAACAAGACAAAATCAGAGAGGGAGGTAAACCATAAAAGACTCTTAATAATAGGAAACAAACTGAGGGTCGCTGGAGGGGAGGTGGGGTGGGAGGATGGGATAACTGGGTGATGGACATTAAAGAGGGCACATGATGTGATGAGTACTGGGGATTATATAAGACCGAGGAGTCAATGACCTCTATTCTGAAACTGATAAGATATTACATGTTAACTGAATTTAAATTAAACAATTAAAAATCAAGAAGAAAGAAATACATAACTATAAAAAATGGAGAATGTTCAGAGAAAAAAGGTATTGAAATAAGGATATACAAATAAGGATATTTTAATGTAATCGTTTGTAAGTACTCCTATTTTATACACGATTTCTTGGATTATCAAATCTAAAAATGTTTGCATATATCAAAATGTAATATGTATCATCATTTCATATATACTTGTTAGCTAGATCCAGTGTCTGCAATGATTCTGTGACAATATTAAGGATCCTCTTTTAGATCCCTGGGTGGCTCCGAGGTTTGGGGCCTGCCTTCAGCCCGGGGCATGATCTTGGTGTCTTGGGATTGAGCCCCGCATCTGGCTCCCTGCATGGGGCCTGCTTCTCCCTCTGCCTGTGTCTCTGCCTGTGTCTCTGCCTCTCTCTCTCAGTCTGTGTCTCTCATGAATAAAAAAAAAAAAATCTAAAAATCCCCTTTTAATGTTTCCAACTATAATAGCATAATAATTTATTCCTAAAGATCATATTGAGAATATGTTTTAAAAAATAAAGCATAGTTTTGCCAGGCAGAATGGTTGAGTTTTTTTTTTACTGGCTCTTTCATTAACTGACTCTGTCAACTTTGGTGAGTTCCTTAACCTATCTATTTTTCCAAATATAAGGTGGATATAAAGACAATATCCTTCCTGATGTTTGATCACATACAATCAAATCCATTGTATATTTATATAACATATTAATATGTTTGGATATTATATACATGATTATTAAAATATTTCACAGACCTTAAAATGGAAAGGAAAATACGGAAGTTATTATATCATGATTTTGTTGAAAAATTGCTGTATTACTTTATTCAAATATATTTTGCATCGTGATCATTTATTAAAAATCTATCCCACAGAGTGTGACAGTCTACCTTGCCTCAATTCTGAGGGAAACAGATTGAGGTATGATGGAGTGTAAAATAATTCAAAGGGAACAAGCCAAATAACGATACTCATTTGATGTCTAAGTGATTTATAGAAATATTTGGTATCCCATTCTATTTACTACTCATCCATGTCATAAATAATGTCATTTAGATATGTAATTATTTTAGAAGAGATACAGAAACTAATTCAAATTCTACCAAAAATGAGGAAGCTATCCCTGAGTTTAGCTATACGCACACAATACAAACTTAAGTAGAGAATTGATAATTATCCAATTAACCTGGTGCTTTTCAAAGTCTCCAAATAGTTGAGCAGAAACAAAGAAAAACAACAATATTTATAACCAGGACCTGGGAAATCCAGATTTGCCCTAAACAGATATCAACTGATTCTAGACATTTCCACCGAAGGTGATGTAGCCTATCTCTCTACTTTTCCAGTACATTGAAATACAAAACATTTCTTCCTGGACTTCACTTGTAGCCAGTTTTGAAAAAGTTGAAAAGTAAGATTTCTCCCAGGAAATAAGATACCCACAATGTTCAATGTTTGACAGGATTTGAAGTTAATTAAGGCAATTGGATTTTCTATTCATGTGGAGACCCCTATTATCTTTTTTTTTAAATAAAAGATTTTAATAGTTGGCATTACCTACCACGTAGAATGTTTCACATCGCTTCTTCTTTCAAATACAGCATGTGCCTAACATTGCCACAAGGGAATTACAAATCTTCTACATTGTCAGAATTTACAAAATTGAGAAAGCGAGAATAGGGCAAGGAGGAAAAAAAATACGCTGTGAGGCAAATAAACGCCAAGAGAAGTAAAACAGTTCAGCGCAAGGTCTTCTTAGGTCAGCTCATTTTAAGTCTACGTTTTATGCCCAAATGCAAATTTTTATAATATTATATAGTCCAAAGTCAAAAGTATTTTTTTCACATTTTTAATAGCACAAAGTCAGAGGCATTTCACAGGATAATAAAAGATCTCCCCTTCAGAGAATTATGCAAGGATACCCTAGCCTACTTTTCTAAATTAAAGACCAGCCTTTTATAACATGGTTCCCAAGCAAAGTAGTAATTACGCAGACCCCCGGAATACTTGAGGAAGATGCTGATAGTCATAGGAAAAAATATAATATTTTTAAAGAGGTTGTGACTTTTGTTAAAGAGTAATTTCATGAACGCTAAATAAAT